ACGCTCCAACAGTCGGTCGAGTTTATCAATCAAATGTTATACAACTTTGGCAAGCGCATTCATTCTAAAAACTTTTCAGCTTAATGATTTGTAAATATGAACAGAGAACAAGCGAGCAACAGAATTATGACAATAAGCCGAACTGTAGATACCCTTATCTATAGAAAAAGTACTTATGATATAACAAATATTAAAAATGTATAAAATAAAGCATAATGTTAATTTTTATTGCTATCAACAGGATTAATTTACCAAGCGAAAAAATTCATTTGCATTCCCTTATCCTCACTGCAAAATGTACTTAAATACAGGCAACGGTTTTTTGCCGTTGCCAGATCTGTAGCATGGCAATCAAGGTGGCAGCACTGCAATACTCATTGTACAATTTTATAATGAAGATAAAGTTCTTGGCAACTTTTACGAAGCAAATGTCGACAATATTAACATGACAAAGTACTTTTTTCAGTTTGCAATGCATTTTTTGTTAACTCTTGACACTCGATTTGTCACTGATTGATTTTTTTTTTGCCTTTCATATCGTACATGATGACATAGTTGTGATGCCCACATTAGCAACAGCTGGCGATGACAATGAGCTGTTCAGCTGTTGAAAGGAAGTTGGACGGAAGTGTGCAGCAAGTGGCAAGTACTTGTCGTGCTAGTTGCAACTACTTATTTCGCACATAAATTCTGCGTCAAAGTTGTTGCAAAGAAACGTGATTTTGCTATCGCTTAAAACTTGCACAGAGCGAACTTTAAAACATACTTTTAATGATGACTTCTGTGTCCTTTCTTGGCTAGCTAACATTATTAATTTTAGCGTCAGGTGCTAGTTCGGATTGAAACTCAATTTTGTGAGCTGTGTGTTGCAAAGTTTGCGTTAACACACTTTGGGCCGGACTGAATACAGCAAAGAGGCTGATCAAAGTGAAACTGGGACACATACACACACAGACACACACTTAGTGCTTTCCCTGGCTACCTCAGCCACTGCCAACAGCTTTTGTGCTGTGCGTTCTCAGCTTTTGAGCTAACAGCTTTTGACATTGCATTAACGCCAGTTGGGAACGCGTCGTTGCTTTGCCCGCTTGTCAGCCGCAACAGCAGCAACTACAACAGCTACAACAACAATCAGTATGATGAGGGGCAACGCCTGCACACTTCGTTACTCAATTTGTGGCAAGGAACTTTCATTATGTGCCCTGTGTAACATGTGACTCTCATAAAAGTCGACCCCTGCCAAACACACAGGCACACAAAACCTTAAGCACTTAAATGAAAACGTGTCACTGAGTTTTAATTGCGCGAGCATCAACACAAATACAAATACAGATATATACACACACACACACACACAGATGTGTGTGTACTATAGAAACCTACAGAGCCTTGTGTTGGTTGTAGTTGTTGCTTTTATGTGAGTTTTGTGCGTGGTCAGTGTTTGGATAACGCCTACGTTGTTCAGCTTATCACATTCGTTTTATGGGTCAAGCATTCGTTCGAGACACAGTTTGAAATGCACACACAAGCCAGTGCATTTCAAACTTCCAGGCTTAACTTATGATTATGATATTGTTATTGCTTTTTCTCAAATTGTTCTAATTAAAATTTATTGTATTTTATGTCAAAGCATTTGAGTATAGGTTAAGTCTGAATGTTTAGTTTAACTACAATTCAGATAAGTTGATTATTTTTAAAGTGCTGCCAGTTAACACATTACCCAACACTGTTGATCAGTGTGTCCACACATTCGAACAATGTGACAACAATGTGTACATCATAAGCTGTTTTTTGTTTATATTTCACTTGAAATTTATCTCGTTTGTTGGTAAAAACTTTACAACTTAGCCGAGGACTATTTAATTGAAAATCTGGCTAGGCTTCTTCTAAATCTTTTTGCAGGAAAGTTCGAAAGAACTAGTTCAAACGGCGCCAAATACATTTGCTGTATTCGTCTACAAAAGTATTTTAGAGTAGATTATTGTTCCCACTCTGAGAAGTTCAGATATGTGCCACAGCGAACTGAGTTCGTGTGGCACAGCCTGCTACCTGGCAGACACCTTTTTGTCTGTTTTCCGACTACCTAATGAAGTCATTCTAACAATAATGAACAACTTGACGCGCTACACAGCGGAGCGTGGCAGAGCCAAAAAGCGGAAAGAAAAAACAAAGGGCAAAAGACATTGACAGGCCATATAGAAACAACACTCTCAGGCAGATGGGCTGGCCGGAGAATTTAAAAATAAAGACGCGAAGCATCTGCCGCCGCGCTGAGTCAACAAATGAGCCGACGACATGAGGAAGTTCAGGGAGGAGCGGAGGTGCAGCGGCGCGTTGCATTGCGGGAAAAATAGGTGGAATTGTGCATCGGTTCGGTACATTTGGGACTTGGCCAGCTGGGGCATAGCCTGGCATAAATTGTGATCAAATTCGAATGCTATTAATTTCGTTAAATCAATAAAAATAACAATTTTTCATTGCATGTGGCAAAACAAAACCAAAGAAACTTTATTCGCCCATGAAAATTTATAGTTGACATTTTATGTTGTATAGTTTTAGCTTTTTGTGGCTTTGCTCTTAATTTATGGCTTAAAACACACCCCCAGCCAAATTAAATACACACAAACACATGGGAATACACTGAAAAAAAAAAAAAACAAACCAAGCAAGTTTCATCATAATTATGCACAGCCGGCACGTTTCTTTTACATATATAACATTTTATTGGAAATAATATTGAAAACCAAAATATGCTAAATAAAAATCGCAGTACTTTAAAAAGGACTTTCAAAAATATCTTTAGTATTCTTGATCTTGGATCATAATTTGATAAGTTCGTGTAACATAGTCATACTCGAATCAAGAATAGAAAAATCGAGTACTTTTTGTACTGGAGTTCACCCAAAGTTAGTTGAATAACACTTCATTTATACAAATCGTACTCTGTGTTTTTTTTGTCTGTACACGAGTATCTGAAGCAGCTGCTGCATTTTTGAGGGAAGCGAGCAACGTGCATATGGCCAGTCAATAGAGTGTGCAGGACGAGAACAGGACACTCCGGAGTGCACGGACACCTATGCATTCTGTTAAAAGTATGCGCAAACAACTTGAGCGTTTCTTTAATCGCCTCACGTTTCTGCTACAAGTGCTTAGCCGGCGAGTTTACTACAATATGCGTCAACAACAACAACAACAACTAGAAAAACTATAGCAACTCCTTGTTGTTGCCGTTTGCTGGTTGCTTTCGCTTTAGCCGGCACGTGAACTTTTATGCTGCGGTTATAGCTGACGCTGCCAGCCGTGTGTTGCATGCCACACACACACACACACACACACATACATTAATACAGATACAATAACCGCCCATTGGCCCCCATTGGGCAGCATCTTTGAACGTGAACTATTAGAAAATGTTTACTGGACATGTACATGCAACATGGAGCTGCCACTGCCACTCTGGCAGCGTGTCTCCTCGCTTGTACGCAGCAAAAACGTTGGCAAGAGAATAGAAAGAAATTTAAAAGACTATGGAAAGAAGTGCCAATCAACTGTTTATACAAAATATTTACTAGGGATTTAAATATGTGCACGGAGAGAAATTCTCATGGAAAAAGCAGTGCGATAATCCTTAAAGGATACTTTGTAGAACATACTACATTTGTATCTCCATAGATGGAATGTGGGTTTATCAGATGAATATTGTTCAATCTAATTTGTTGAAAATTAAAAGAAAGTTAATAGTAAAGAGAGTTCATGTTAAGTTAACATATAGAAAGATGTTAAGCATAACAGAAATTAAAAATTGCTTCCTTTTGGCAATTGGAGTTTCGAATTTGAAATAATGAGAATGTGACTTAGATAAAACCGATTTTCAACATGATTTTCAACTGAATATTCATTTAAAAATGAAACACATAACCGACAAGAGAGGTCCATAATTAAAATACATACATATATGCATTTAATGGCAAATTGCCTTAGCTCCAAGGAAATTTTGTTTAATTAATGGCATAAGCATTTTGAAAAAATCACGTTTGCCGACAATATGATTAATGAATAGATTTTTCGTTTAAATTTGGTCAACAACCGGCTTTCGAGCCGCATAGACAACGGCTTCCCAAGCCATTCGGATTTTGGTTAATGTAAATGACTCAATAGAGCGCCTGGAAGCGAATCATAATTTAACCGGTTTCTCAATCAGGTGGCAAACTTATTTCATTGTCTGAATGAAATTATGGTAAAGGCAAAAAGATATATATATATATATATATGTTGGTAGCGGGGCTTTGAACTCTGAGAGGCGGATTTAGCTATTGGGTTCATTATTGTAGCTCAATAGGATTTTTTCTTTTACATAAAGCATTAATAATTGCAGCTAGTTAAATGCATTGTGTGGATTTACTTGGGTATTTGCACAAAGCTGAAAAATATATGTGCCTTCGTAAGTATGCGTATGAATAACAACATTGGGCCGTGATATTAATATGCAAATGATGCTGCTGTAAAAATGATATACAAAATAAATATTAAATAAATAAAAGGGACAATAACATATTAAAAAGTAGTCAATGCAATACAAAAAAATGCCCCTTGCAATAATGACAAAAACGTGCTGAATTAATATCGCCACCAATAAGATAAATAACAATAGCAATATTGTGGCAAATAAATTACAATTACTTTTTATTTTATGTATTTTGTTTTTTTTTTTAAGGTTTTTTTGTGTGCGTGTAAATTGAAAAATAATATCAATACCCAGAGTGCAGATTAAATATTATTTATGCTATTTTAAAAATGCTCTCAAGCGCAGTTCTCATAAATAAACAATTAAGAATTAGCAAAACTGTTGACTGAGCAGAAACAAAAAAAAAAAAAAAAGGAGAAACAATTGCAATTAATCGTTTCAGAAAACCCGCAAATAGCATTTAAATGTTATCTGTTATCTGTTTTATTGTACAGTTATACGCTTATCAGTTCGCAGATCTGCGGAATTAGTTTACCTCGTTTGTGCCTCGCATAATTCGACTGTTCATTGCCGGAGCAGCAGGGTTGCTCGTAGTAGAAGTTCCACGTGTTTTCGTAGTCGCCAGCAATTTGTTGGGCTCCGCATGCCAGCAATAGCAGCAGCAGCAAAGGAATCAATTGCAGTTGCATTCTGGATTTTCAGTCTTGTTTTTGTTTTCGGGCGTGGGCACACTGGACTGCCCAAACCTCAATTGGATTACTGTTGTTATTTTTTTATTGCTGCCGACAGACACACTACACACACACACACACACACACACTCATACACACAGAGTGCTTGTTGGTCGAACTGGCAACCGCTGGCAATTTACTTGCCAAGCCGCACAGAAAAAAAGTCCTTTTTAAATAACTGTTAACACATTTAAGTTGTATTATTTTTAATGGTCGCGAAATATTTGTACACTTGCACAGCAATTGCGATGAAATTGAATTTGCCGCAGCAGCAAATGGATTTTAAATAAATTTCTTTTTGCAATGCCTGGTAACAATTTCGTTTTGATTAATTATAAATGCATACATATACATACACACATAGTTTGCATTTTTACTGTTTTACAGTTTGGCGCGCTGGTGTGCATTCAATTTAAGAGGCATTTAACACTCAACAATTGATAAAACATAAAATAAAAGAAGGTACACAGCATAAAAATGAAATACCAGGCGACAAACTGGTTTCTGCTGTGGTACCCACGCATCTGCAGCAACAACAACAACAACAGCCACAAAGAGCAGGCCGACAAATTCTTGAACATTTCCGCCAAGCGATCGGACAAGTGCGAGCGAGAGAGCACGTTATGTGTGAGCGGTGTAACATGTAAACAAGCTGCTGCGCAAGGTTGCCAGAGCGACGGCGCACGGCGCTTTGTTTTATTTTGCAGATTATTTCAAGTTGAAAACAATATACTTGTAGAAAAATAAATAACACATTTATCCAGCTATTAAGCTACACATTAATTTTTTATCAGCCGATTCATTTCATATAGAAACATCTGTTGCGTATATGCCTCACGATTTATGACTCTGGCAGCTCAAATTTACTTGCAGTAAATGCATATACATATGTGTGTGCGTGCAAACACACACATACATATGTACATACATAGGTCAAGATGCATACACACTAAAATGCCTATATGAAAATTCGAACGGTATGTATAAAAATATGTTCAACAATGTATTGTATGTATGTGATGCACATTAAATTTTTGTTGTTTGGGCGATTGAATTACAATTGGTCAGCAGCCGACTGCGTTTTTCATTAACACAAATCTACAATAAAGAAAACCAAATAAATGGTGAACGCGCACTAAACGAAAAGACAACAACAAGATCACTGGTTGCGTCGCCGACTGGTGTGACCGAACTTGCCAAAGACCATAATGTAGATGTTTAAAATGCCTTAAAAAGATAATATACTAGAACATACTTTGACATGTTGCTAGCAGACAAAAGCTAGTTGATGTGACATTTACGTTACTTTTTGAATTGCTTCAAGTTAAAAAACTGCTCGGATTCGAATTTTACTTACTATTTTTTTTTTTTATATTTGCACTGCAAAGGGCCTGACAATTGTTATTTAAGTATCTTTCGAACCAGACGGTCCATATCAATATTTGTATTTGAATGTTTGTATTGACAGTTGTTTTAGGATAATTTTTTGTAAGGTATTTCGAGATATCTTAACTTTTCAAGAAAATGGGGTAAATAACAACAATTGATAAAAGGTCTAACAATTTGGAGCGCTCCTTTTGTGATTTAACATTGAATTGATTTTCGGAATTTGCCGCAGAGTTTTTGGTATTTGTTGGCTTTCCTTTACTCGATTTGCGCCATTTGGCCACAAATGAAAGCCTAAAAAGCAACAAAATGCGGCTGGCCAGCGCATAATTCCCAGACGGGGTGGTCCATTGGAATTTTGCGGGGACACCTTGCATAGAATCTCGGCGGGCAGACTGCAGCATGGAGAACAAATGGCTACTCTGCAAATTTGAAAGTGTTTTTACGAAGGGGCTGCGATGAGGGGGGAGGGGGCACGTGGAACACGTTCTAACACGTTTGCTAGACAAAATTGTTTCAAAGCGAACGAGAAGTATGCAAAAATTGCAGCACGCGCCGTCGTCTGGTTGATTTTCTCATTGCATTTGCAGTTTCAATTTTGGAATGCAAAGTCGTGCAGAAGCGTCCAAGCTGTATGTGTGTGCGTGTGTGTGTGTGTGTGAGGCTCGGCCATTTTAAAGAGTCTGTACTTCAGTCTCTTTCATTGTCTGTCTGTGTGTGTGCGTGTGCTTAATGCTCGGTGCTCAAAGTGTGATTATTTTAAATGCTGCCAACGACGCCGGCGACATAACAATTTTGAATGGAGCTCAAAATAAAAGTCATTTTGTTAAACAGACAAACGCACTGAAAGCAAAACGCTGCTTCACCTGTGCAGACACACACGCGCACACACACACAGACACACACACACACTTGCACATGAGCAAATGCAATTGTGTTGTCTGGTCTGTTCTGCTGGCGACGTTGCCAGACATTTGCGGCTGCTTTTGGCGTTGTTTCTGTTTTTCGTTGCATACCTTTGGGCGGCAATTAAAAACAGTTTGGCAGTCACAGTTGCTGCAATTGAATTTCTTGTGGCGCCACAAAGTAAACGAGTGCCGCTTGTTAAATAAGTACAGCTGCTCAAAAAGGGCGCAGAATTACCAAAAATACTCATATATATGCACACACACGCACACACGCACGCACACGCACGAACAGACACACACACATATATACATATATATTTAATTAAAAGCCAAGTCGTTTATGTTTTCATTTTTGCCAAGTGCCTCTTTTATGCTCAGTACTTCTGTGTGTATGTGTGTGTTATTTAATACAATCTGCAATTGTCAATGGAACTAGCCTGAGTTTCTGTCTGTCTGTCACTCAGTCTGCCTGTCCGTTCGTGTCTCCGTCTTTCGCTCTGCTTGTCTGTTTGCCTGCTAATGAGTTTTCGCAGCGTCGCCTCGCCTCATTATGCCGCATGCAACGTGTTTGTCTCTCTGCCCCTTTTGGCATGATACTGTTGAAAATTTTGATACATGTAACACACACACACACACACACACACACACACACATAGATAGTCACTCATTTTGAAAGCAGCTTTGATGTCGTATCCCTTTTTCCTTTAAAAACCAGTTTTTTTCTTGGTATTTTTTGGTAGCTTTTCAAGTGCAGCAGTTATCATTGTTGTTGGCCCTACTGATGTTGTTGTTGTTGTTGTGCTTGTCGTTGTCATTTGTTTTCGCAGTACAGTAGCAAAACGTTTCTTTACACAATGTCAACTTTCAACAAAGGACTTTAATTAAGTCCTTAATGACAGCTTAATTTAGCGCACTTTGGGCACACTGTGTGCGCTTTGACACGTACCAGAACACAAAGATACATGGCAACTCCAACCTCTTGCTATCTCTCTCTCTCTCCCCCTCTCTCTCTCTCTCTCTCGCTCGCTCGCTCGCACTCTTTGTGCGGGCTCTTGTTGTTGTTAGTTTCTTTGCATAATTTACATGACCGTTTAATACCCTCTAAAGCTGCTGAAATGGCATTTTGATGATATCAAATAAAAACATAGAAAACTTGCTGCTTGACCAACATTGTTGTTGTTCTTCTTATTGTTGCTGTTGTTATTATTATTATTATTATTATTGTGCGCTGTGGTCACTCAAGCTGTCAGCGGCGAGGCAACTTTTATGCATTATATATATATAAAAAAAAAAGTTGCACAAATAACCAAACAACAACAAAGACAACTATATCAAAAAAAAAACAAACAGCGATAAAAACTATTTGTTGTGTTTGTCGCTGGAATTGTTGTCGTTCTTCTTGTTGTTGTTGTTGTTGTCGTGTCTTTGTTATTGTTGTGCCAAGTTGGCTTACTCAAGTTACTTGCAAAAGATTTCAATGCACTTTACTCCACAACTTGTTCGCGCAGCAAAAAGAAAACCTGACCAGCAACAACAACAACAACAACAACAACAATTTGACTTCTGCAAACTGTCAGAGCAAGCAAATGGCACTAAATATTAAGTTTGCCTTTTGCAACTTGACCAGAAAGAAGCAGAAGAAACGTAAACTGCTGGGCAGGGCACAACTTGGTCGGCTCCAAAACTAATGAAAGCTTTCTGTGTGTGTGTGTGTGTGTACATGTGTGTGTGTTCTGGTGTTGCCAAAGTTTTTGCCTTTTGGCTCGACCACAGAATTTCTACTGAGCTCCGTGCGGCACTTATTTCAAGTTCAATTAATTTTAAGTGCGGCGGCCATTGTGTTGCACATGTGTTGTTGTTGTTGTTGTTGTTGTTGTTGTTGCAGTTGCTGCGGTTTTTAGCTTGTTTGTTTACTTGTGTTTTTAGCTCAACTCGAGCCAGACATGCAATGTCAGCGCCTGTATTTATGCTATAAATAATGCAACATATTTTGCATAATGACAACTTACGGCCAAATACATCGAATCAAATAAACGCGTGTACTAAATATACACTTAAACCTATTCAACCGCAACACACACAAGACTTGCCTCTAATTGCATGCTGCACATACCCTGTGCGTGCGCCTTGCATACCTCAAAAACGCCGGGTATACTACATGCAATCCTTCAAATTAGCAAGTACAGTGAATGGGCTGCATGTTTAGATAATAAGTGTTTATATTTGATTAATTATTTAGGAGCGGGCCGCAACAAGGAGTGGGCGTTGTGCTTGAGGGCCGCGAGGAATTAACATAGAATATATAGTTAGTTGCTTTAATATTTTCTTTTAAAATAGCACACAAATTATGAATAGCCTTTTACAACTCAATTTTTTCATGAAATCAGCTGCTATCAAATGCGATACGATATTTGTTTCTATTTCAATTAGAATAAAATTCTTATTCTCTCTTGTTCTTATCTCTCTCATTCTCGCTCTCTGCCTCTCTCTCTCTCTCTCTTTCCTTCGCCCTCTTCCTCTTCCTCTCTCTCTCTCTGTCTCTGTCTCTCTGCCCATTTTCCCAATCAATCTTATAGAATCATTCACTCCCTCCACACGCCGTCGCTTGTTCAAACCGCCTTTCTATGCGATTTTCACTATCTAAAGTAATGCTGCAGATATCAATATTATTCAAATATAGATGTTCGTATCTTTCAGTTAATCCATTGAAATAAAATATAAATCGATTCATATGAATGGATATGTATTTTAATACTGGCTCTTTTTTTGTCCCTTACATAAGTCTTTTATATTCGAGCTTTACGAAATCAAAGTAACAACAACAAAGTTGCTCATCGTTTCAACTGGGGAATAATCGAAAATAAGTTGTGAAATTCGTTAAAATGTGCTTAATGCGCTTTGCAGAATAAACACAAACTATCAAAGTATTTATTTGTTTATATTTTTTTGTTGCAACAATTTTTTGGTTGCACCGAGAGAAAAACCCAATTGATTTTTACCTGGCTGCATTTGTTTACTTTGTTGCTTGTTGCTTTTCCACGTATTTGATGGAAGTTAAAAATTCATTAAGCGTTTGTTTATGTCCATAAGCTCTTGTCGATTTTTGTTTTCAAATGAATTGGATTGTGTCAAACAACGAGTGCTGCATAAATCTGGTTTTAATTGGATGCTTTTGGCAACCAAATGCAGATTTGTGGCGCCTTAAAGTTGCATTTGAAAACTGTGAAGCCTGGTTGCACGCAGCGTGTTGTTGTGTGTCCTGGCGGCAGACAGTGAATGCACGCGACAAGGATTAATGTCAGCCAACATGACATTTAGCGCTGAAGGACTCGCAAGGACTGGCGGCCTATGCAGCCAATGTCAAGTCCCAGCGCTTTTCTCTGCCGTCTGTCACGGGCACCGCAACAAGAACAGCCGCGATAAAAACAAAAGTCAGTTGGCAAATCTTGTCTAGCTGCCGTCTGAGCCGCACCAGAGAGTATCAAGGCACAAGGAAACAAGAAAGAGGCAGACAGACCTGAGCTAGCCGGCATGTGGGCTGGCAAGTCTGTGTTAAACAAAGGTTGCAGCAGTTTTTCCTAGCTGTGTGTGCGAGTGTGTGTGTGCGTGCATGTGTGTGTGTGTGTGTGTGTGTGTGTGTGTGAGGTGCATAATTAAAAAAGCATTTGGGCGACGTGGTTCAACTACTTTCGGATTTATATTGTGTCAGTCAATGCAAATTCAGCAGACGGTGTAAAATTCGTTGCATTTAAAATGCGTCGCCAGCTAGCACAGCGTGCAGATGGAAATGAAAGAAAAAAGAAAAGCGTCGCATTGAAAACCATTCAAAAGAATCAACAGACTAGAAGAAGCGTTGGCAAAACTTTGCCAGCTGCCTGTTGATAAATGTT